GATTTTATTTCTCTTTTGCTTATGAAGCTTAGCTTGGCTGGATATGAAATTCTGGGTTGAAAATTCTTTCTTTAAGAATGTTAAATAGTGGCCTCCACTGTCCTCTGGCTTGTAGGGTTTCTGCAGAGAGAGCCGCTGTTTGTCTGATGGGTTTACATTTGTGGGTAATCCAACCTTTCTCTGGCTGCCCTTAACATTTTTTCCTTCATTTCAACCTTGGTGGCTCTGATGATTATGTGTCTTTGGGTTCCTCTTCTCAAGAAGTATCTTTGTGGTGTTCTCTGTATTTCCTGAATTTCAATATTGGCATGTTTTGCTAGGTTGGGACAGTTCTCCTGGATAATATCCTGAAGAGTGTTTTCCAACTTGGTTTCATTTTCCCTATCATTTTCAGGTACACTAATCAAAAGTAGGTTTGGTCTTTTCACATAGTCCCATATTTCTTGGAGGCTGTGTTCATTCACTTTCATTCTTTTTTCTCTAATCTTGTCTTCATGCTTTATTTCATTAAGTTAATCTTCAATCTTTGATATCCTTTCTTCCACTTAATCAATTTGGCTATTGATCCTTGTGTATGCTTCATGAAGTTCTCATGCTATGATTTTCAGCTCCATCAGGTCATTTATGTTCTTTTCTAAACTACTTCTTCTAGTTAGCAATTCCTCTAACCTTTTTTCAAGGTTCTTAGCTTCCTTTCATTGGGTTACAACATGCTGCTTTAGCTCAATGGAGTTTGTTATTACCCACCTTCTGAAGCCTACTTCTGTGAATTCATCAAACTCATTCTCTGTCCAGTTTTGTTCCCTTGCTGGCGAAGAGTTGTGATCCTTTGGAGGAGGAGAGGCATTCTAGTGTTCGGAATTTTCAGGCTTTTTGTGCTGGTTTTTCCTCATCTTTGTGGATTTATCTACCTTTGGTCTTTGGGGTTTCTGCATGGACGTCCTTTTTGTTGATGTTGATGCTATTTCTTTTTGTTTGTTAGTTTTCCTTCTAACAGTCAGATTCCTCTGCTGCAGGTCTATTGGAGTTTGCTGGAGGTCCACTCCAGACACTTTTTTCCTGGGTATCACCAGCAGAGGCTACAGATCAGCAAAGATTGCTGACTGTTCCTTCCTCTGGAAGCTTCATCCCAAAGGGCCACCTGTCCATGCCAGCCAGAGCTCTCCTGTATGAACTGTCTGCCATCCCACTGGGAGGTGTCTCCCATTCAGGAGGTACAGAAATCAGAGACCCACTTGAGGAGGCAGTCTGTCCCTTAGCAGAGCTTGAGTGCTGTGCTGGGAGATCTGCTGCTCTCTTCAGAGCCAGCAGGCAGGAATGTTTAAGGCTGCTGAAACTGCAACCAGATCCCCAACTTCCCCAAGATGCTCTGTCCCAGGGAGATGATAGTTTTATGTATAAGTCCCTGACTGGGGCTGCTGCCTTTCTTTGAGATATGCCCTGCCTAGAGAGGAATCTAGAGAAGCAGTCTCTGGCAACAGTCACTTTACTGAGCTGCAGTGTGCTCCACCCAGTTCAAATACCCCAGTGGCTTTTTTTTACACTGTGAGGGGAGAACTGCCTACTTAAGCCTTAGTAATGGTGGATGCCCCTCCCCAACCAAGCTGGAGTGTCCCATTGACTTCAGACTGCTGTGCTGGCAGCAAGAATTCCAAGCCAGTGGATCTTAGCCTGCTGGGTTCTGTGGGGGTGGGATCTGCTGAGCTAGACCACTGAGCTACCTGGCTTCAGCCCCCTTTTCAAAGGAGTGAATGGTTCTGACTTACTGGTGTTCCAGGCATCACTGGGATATGAAAAAAAATCTCCTGCAGCTAGCTCAGTGTCTGCCCAAATGTCTGCCCAGTTTTACGCTTGAAACCCAGGGCCCTGGTGGTGTGGGCACCTGAGGGAATCCCCTGGTCTATGGGTTATGAAGACCATGGGAAAAGTGTAGTTATCTGGGCCAGAGTGCACCATTCCGCATGGCACAGTCTCTCATGGCTTCTGTTGGCTAGGGGAGGGAATTCCCTGACCCCTCGCACTTTCCAGGTGAGGCGACTCCCCAGTCTGCTTCAGCTTGACCTTTGTGGGCTGCATCCACCGTCTAACCAGTCCCAATGAGATGAGCCAGGTACCTCAGTTGGAAATGCATAAATCACCCACCTTCTGCATTGATCTCACTGGGAGCTGCAGACCAGACCTGTTTCTATTTGGCCATCTTGCCAGCCACCCCAGGCGTCTACCTAGGAAAATTAAGAGTGAGTAAGCGCAAGAGAAAGGGTGGGCGGTAGGAAGATAAAGGAGCTGACATTGTTGAACATCATGCATGGGCTATGCACTAGACATAGGCTGTTTTATTGAGTGCTCACAACAGATCCACGAGGTAAATATAATGATCTCCATTTTAGAGAAAAGGAAATGGAGACATTTGCCTAGATTTATCTCCTTTGTTTCACCAAGATGAAACGTTTGTATCAGTAATAATGAACAACAATTATTGATCTGTAAACATGTTTTATTATTTTATGTTTCCCTGTTAGCTTGTTCACGCTACTGTAATTTTCTTTCTACATCTATATTCAACTAAATTATACTTGGCTTTAAGACTCAGCTTAAGCATTGCTCTTCCAAACAAGCCTTCCCTAACACTCTCCCCCATTCTGAATTCACATGTGCCTTGGTTTTAAGTTCCACAAGAGTCTACCCTGCTACATAATTCCATGGTAACATTCCACTTTAATTGCTAACTTGCTTGCCAGTCTCCCCCCAACAGACTAAAACCTCTGTGGAAGTTCAGAGATAATTTTTACTGACATCTCTTCTCAGAGCTTAAAACTATGTGGGGCAAAGTAAGGACTCAGTAACATCTGTTGAATGAATGAATGCATGAAGAAACTGCATTGCCCAATGTCTAATTAGCATGTAAGTTGTTGGAGAAGGATTTGAACCTAGTCACTCTTTCCATTATACCATAATGTATGCAAAAGAATTATTCACTATTTTAGCTTTAGGATATGAAAAGATAGTCCATCAATGACTCAGTTGCTCCAAATTGCTTTGGAAATCCTCCAGGAAGTACCACAAACTAGCCTATAAGGGACAAAAGAACATTTAGAAAGTAATTTTTAGGATAGAAATTATTAAAATGTCTGAAATTCAATGAAAATTAATATTCTGCTGTACAGAGGAGCTGAATTTTTTTCAGAATTAAACTCCTAAAGAAATGGGAAGTGGCTCAAAAATAAAAATACTCAAAAATAAAATATTCAAAGTCAAGTAAGTTTATCCTTGCTGTGCAGTTTCTCCAGCTTCATAGCAGGTCAAAGTATTTCTGTTACTGCATTTTTAACAAGCTCTCAGGAAGGTACTGAGGAGGAAGCTGGTTCATATCAAATTGCCTCTGAAATTTCCCTAGAGTAGTTCACAATCCTGGAGTACCAGGAATCTACACATACCCGCATCTGAGAAGGAAGCAACGTGAGCTCACAATGAAGGCTAAGTTGTAATTCCTACGTCTCTTGAGATTTTTCAGATGGTGTGGAATGTGAAGGGTCCTGGAAGTATGCCAGAGTGAATCTCCATCCTGCAGGGGCTGAGGCACCCAGCTGCTACCAGCACTACCACCATGGAGAGCTCTGGGTCCCAAACAAGAGTTTGGGAACTGGCCCTAGGCAACAAGAAGCTGTTGCAAGGTTACAAGAAGCTGTTGCAAGGTTACAAACAAAACAGTGATTGGATTGGTATTTGAAATATTCTTGCTATAATATTATTGTTATTATTATTTCTTTATTACTATCACCTCTATGATAGTGCATTTTCATGCACATTTCTATATGCTTCCAGAGTGGGAGGCAGAAAGTACAGTTACAGTTGCTATACATAAAATGAAGCATAAACTTGTGTTGGCGAGTGGAAATGTATTAGAAGGTTGGAGTTACATCTGTCATGTGTGTCATAAAGAGAAAATGATTGACAACTGTTGCTTTAGAGTACTATATTCTATTGAACTGACAAAATAAAATGAAAGTATTTGTTAAATGTCCACTGTATTCAGAGCAATGTGCCAGATACTGATGGATCTATCTATACAGAAATATTAAGAAAAATCTTATTAGCTTCTCAGGCAAGAATTCTGGGGGAAATATTTTAGATGTGTCACTGCTGTCTAAGTCAGGTAGGTCCTCAGCTTTTCTGCTTCAACTTTTTAAAACAAAGTTAACAAACTCATAAATAATTAAAATATAAAGACTCATCTTCTATTTTGTGTAGAATATAGATTTCCTAGTGACTGAAATATCTACTCTCTATGGTATTGGCTTTTAAGTATCAAGGTATTTGAATAATGCAATTATTAATCAGAAGGTTGTTTGGAAAGTACATATCCAGGAAAAATAGAATTGGCTAATTTTAAAGAATACCATAGGAAACTCTAGAACATGCCTACTCCCAAATTGCCTATAGAACAAATACATTCTTGCCTTTAATACACAGGATCTCTTTTCCATGAATACAGGCATCAAGTGCTTACATTCGAACATCCTTTGTTAAATGCTATCACAAATACCATCACATCATGAAAGGTAAGTGGTGGTACAAATTTTTTAATTACAGTTTTCGTTTATATTGTCATTTTGCCTTCTTGAGGATCTACTTTGACTTCACTGGACTTCGGTATTATTCAACTCTATAACAGCAACACATTTAGGAAGCAATTTTTAGGATGGACAGTGGCCACAGATGCTTTAACTCACTTAATAAGCATTTATGAAGCTATGTGCAGGTAGGCTATTGTTCTAGGTAAAAGGAGTTCAAGCAAAGATATTTGGGAGACACACAGGTTACAGATAACTACCGTCAGTGCTATGACAGAAAGACATGTCTCAGGAGTGAGCCTAATCAGACATGAACAGTTATGAAGCCTTCCTCATCTTGAAGAAATAGACTGAAGTAACCAGTTGAAAAATCATGCTAAGCTTATCCCCAGTGGGCTAATTTTAAAAAACGTTTCCGACTTAAGAGGGTGGGACGTCCGGCTTCCGAGCAGTAACCTTTGTTGTGCTAGCGACGAAAAAGAGTTAAATATGGGTGATGTTGAGAAAGGCAAGAGGATTTTTATTCAGAAGTGTTCCCAATGTCACACCGTGGAAAAGGGAGGCAAGCACAAGACTGGGCCTAATCTCCATGGTATCTTTGGGTGGAAGACAGGTCAGGCCTCTGGATTCACTTACACCGACGCCAATAAGAACAAAGGCCTCATCTGGGGAGAGGATACACTGACGGAGTATTTGGAGAATCCCAAGAAGTATATCCCTGGGACAAAAATGATCTTTGTCAGCATTAAGAAGAAGGGAGAAATGGAAGACTTAATAGCTTATCTCAAAAAAGCTACTAATGAGTAATAATTGGCCACTGCCTTATTTATTACGAAACAAATGTCTCATGACTTTTTTATGTGTACCATATTTTAATAGATCTCATACACCAGAATTTACATCATGAATGACTGACAGAATATTTTGTTGGGCAGTCCTGATTTAAAACTAAGACTGGCTTGTGGTTAAATGAATATGTTCAGTTTTGGGATTTTAATAGTAATTCCAATTTAGTAAATTCTATCACTGTTTAACCCTTTTAAAGATATGATTAGACTTCATTGGTAATGTTAAACTTTTCGCAAAGATGGTGAGTGCCATCTTAAAACTTACTGGAGATTGGTTTTATATTTAGATTTACATAACTGGTTATGTGAATATATTTAAATATGGGGGAAATTCCTTCACTGTCTCAGAATCGAGCAAGATTCACCAGTGTTTTGTTCATTTGCCTCTTAAAAAGGCAAGGGTTGAAGATAAGTGGGTAGCAACGGCTATTTTATGTTTTCAGCCTTAACTATGCCAATCTAATTAGAATTCCCTGTATTTAAAATGGTTCCTTTTACTTATTGAAAGGCATTTTGTGTGGTTTATGTGTAATATCAAAAATTATTTAACACTTTACACATTTTATAGATGATCTATAAGGTCACATGCTTTTAAAATAGAAGCCAATTAAACTTCACTCTTGGATTCTTTACAATCTAAGTCAAACTAAGTTATAATTTAGGATTGTCTTTATAGTATCCAATTAAACTTCACTCTTGAATTCTTTACAAGCTAAGTCAACCTAAGTTATAATGTAGGATTGTCTTTAAACAGCCATTCAGAAACAAAACTGTACAACTGCTGTGTATTTGTGATTGGGAATGGTGCTTTTGCCAACTTAAAAGGATTAAAGTAAAGGAGATAAACACAAATTTTAAAATGATGTGTGATCATAAGACTTAAGATAATTAAAAAGAAAACCACAGATGAAGAAAAAAAAAAAGTTTCCACTCAACAGACAACCTTTTTTTGACTTTGACCGCTGATGAGTGCCTCCCATGGGGGATTCACTAAAGCTCTTATTCATACAGGCCTATAATCTAATTAATGCAATGAATATACATCTTAGATGATGCTTTGACAGCAAAAATCTTGAGATCAAGACGTAGATCTGTTACTTAACACTTGTGTGATTTTGGACAAGTTAGCATCTCAAAGCCTCAAATTCATCATCTGTATAATGGATAATGATAGTATATACTTCATATAAAATCTATAAAAATGAAATGAAATAATGCAAGTAATTCACTTAGCCCAAGTGCTCAAAAACGTTAGCTTTACAAAAACATCATTTACATGATTAGTCTTACAATAAATGCATGCATATTCAAAAGAGCAAGCATTTCAAAATTATTTTTTTAAAAAAGAGCAGAGATGCTGATATTTAAGCTAAAACTTGAAGACAGCATCAAAATGTTTATACATGATGGAACAAACAGCAGTGAGAAAATCCAAGAAAAGGATAATTAATTCAGATGGTGATGAGAAGACAATGCTGAGTTGGGCAGCGTTTCTGCAGGAAGTGAGAGAAGCAGGGCCTGAGTGGTAAGCTGCTGCCAGATTCCAAGAGGCCTATAGGTGCCAGGCAAACGAGCTTGGGCTTTGTCCTGTATGTGATGGGGAGCCACTGAAAGTTCTTGTTCAGTATTGTAAGATGATCAAATCAGCACTTTATAAGAAAAACCAGAAAGCGGGAGACCAGTTAGAATGTGACTGCTGGAGTCCTGCTGCCCAGCAATGAGGATACACAATGAAGTCATGACACAGTAGAAAAAAAAAAAAAAATGGAGACAGGAAACACTCTGAAGGACAAATAAACAGGACATATTTACTAAATCCCAGTACTGGTCCCGATCCTAATCTAAAAAATGTTGCTAAGTCATATTTTCCTGATGAGTATTTAAGTCTGAATTCAAGTTATGAAATTCCAGAGATTCATTCCCCTTCCAGATATTTTAATGGCTAAGAAGGGGACTTTGCTCACCATGAGTATTAAATCAGTTTTAGTGTTCAGAATAATGGGGATCAGTATGCATATCGAAGTTCATAGCAGTATTATTCACAATCGCCAAAAAGTGGAGACAACCAAATGCCTATCAATGGATGAACAGTTCAACAAAACATATATATGTGTGTGTGTGTGTGTGTGTGTGTATGTGTGTGTATATATGTACATATACACATATATATAATAGATTATTATTCAGTCTTAAAAGGGAATGGAATTCTGACACCTCATACAACTGAGATGGACCTTGAAAACATTATGCTAACTGAAATAAGCCAGCCACAAAGGGGCAAATATTGTATGGTTCCACCTAGATGAAGTACCTAGAATAGTCAAATTCTAGAGACAGAAAGTAGAATAGTGGTTAGCAGGCAATGGGGATATGAAGGAATAGGAAGTGGTAAATTTTATGTCATGTATGTTTTATCACAATAAAAAGAATGTGAATCTGATACCCTGATGCTCACTCAAAACAAGAGAAAGGTAAGGCTGCCAACCACTTAGCCTAGTGGCTCAGCCAAGTAAGACTCCCTGGGTCAGACACCCTTAGTAGTTTTGTCCAATTGGAGAAGCAATAAAAATGCCAATCATCCACCTACATCAAAATGATAATGATGGCATGCTGGCTCATGGCTCCCTGCTTTTCCTCTGCTCTGGTCTGACACTAAAGGAAAAGGAGAAAGGAAGTCACTCTGTCAAAGTAATCCCTCACCTTGGTACTTGGTACTTAACACTAGTTGACAAACTCCTTGCGAAAGAAAAAGTAACTTGCCTACCTCTGCCCCCATATCCAGAGGTGCTCCACAGATATATTCACTGATATTTGAGGGACTAGAACTCAACATGTGTCTATCAATTAAAATGGCCCCAAGTGATGGCTATGCTAGTTGGAATGTGAATACAGAAGTGTAAGATATGGTCCCTGACTTTTAAGATCATATAATCTACTTAAGGGGATGGGAATTTACACTGATATAATAATGAACAGAATATAATTAGGTGCTAAATTGTGTAGTACAGATTCTAAGTACTCTAGGAGGTCATAAAAACGTCTAACATCATGTAGAAATGAATAATAGGTTGGGAAATCGTCACTTACCAGGTACTTGTAGAAGCGAGCAGAGAAACGTATAAAATGGACTAAAGGCTTTTAAAAGTATCCATTCTATTTTAATTTTATGCGTAACACACCTTGTCTACAAAACGGTCCCTTTCTTAAAGTTTTTTCTGGATTTTCTTTATTCCTCAGCCTTGCTTACAAGTAATTAGAAAATGCCTCAAAGGAAAATAAGTAAGTGTGCCAACAACCATTCAAAAGAATGTGTAAATTACTGTAAAACAGAGGTACTCAAAGAAAATTAGTAACTTCAATCTTCATAAAAATAAACCTCTTATTCAAAGCTTGATTTGTTCAGACATAGCCAAGAAGAAATAGGTAAATTGACACCCCTCCTTCCCAAATGAGGGCTAATGGGATCCAGGGAAAACTTAATTCATTTAGCATCAGAATTCAGACGATTTGCTTGAAAATGTGAATTTCACAGCACTCTGCATGGCATAGATCGAAAGAGACATGAGTTTTGTTTCTACAAAGACTCCAACTGTGAGTGTGTGTACCTTTTAGTTCTGGCCAACCTTACACATTAAAAGCTGTGTGGCTATGTAGCTTAGGCAGGTAGAAGTAAGGAATTAAATTCTATTTCCTAGACTGCTACCCACTACAATCTCTCTCATCTCTTCCTTCATCCTTTCACCCCAAGGAACTATCAAACATTCAGCTCTATTAAATTTCAATAAGTAGAGAGCAAGTTGGTATTTCTCAGTCAACTGTTAGCTTCACATAATACTGGCAAGACAGGAGGGTGTTTTAGGTAATCTATTGTGGCATAACAAACTACCCCAGTACTAAGTGGCTTAAAAAAGCAATTTTGAGGCCGGGCGCGTTGGCTCAAGCCTATAATCCCAGCACTTTGGGAGGCCGAGGCGGGTGGATCACAAGGTCAACAGATCGAGACCATCCTGATCAACATGGTGAAACCCCGTCTCTACTAAAAATACAAAACATTAGCTGGGCATGGTGGCGCGTGCCTGTAATCCCAGCGACTCAGGAGGCTGAGGCAGGAGAATTGCCTGAACCCAGGAGGCGGAGGTTGTGGTGAGCCGAGATCGTGCCATTGCACTCCAGCCTGGGTAACAAGAGCGAAACTCCGTCTCAAAAACAAAAAAAAGCAATTTTGTTTCACTCAGCATTTTGTGGATCAGTTTAGACAGGGTCAACTTGGTGATTCACCACTGATCTACTTGGTGCCGGCTGTTAGCCTGGGCTGGGGGACCAGTGTTCAAGATGGCTTCCTTCCTTACTCTAATGTCTTGCACCTTCCATGGTGTTTCTTTATCTGTCTATCTCAATCTCTCTCTAGCTCAATCTCAATCTCTCTCTCCCTTCCCCAACCCCCCAGCAGGTCCAGAACTAGTGTGAGTTAAGAGAAGTGCCTTGGGTACAAAACTTAAGGAACACTTCTCAATGTCATGCAAATGCACCTCAGAGCACCTCCTTAAATTTTGTACAAGGCACTTCTCTTGCCTCACCCTAGCCCTGGCCCTGCCTCCAGGGCCTCTCTACAGAGCTCCATGGCCCAGGCTTTTCACAGCGTGGTGGTCTCAGGGTAAGAAAGGGGCAGGAAAGGTCTATGCATATAATAATTGGCAAGGTGTCACTTTCACCCTATTCTATTGGCCAAAACAGTCAGTGGGTCTGCCCAGATTCATAGGTAGAGAAACAGATACCACCTATTAATGACACAGTGAGAAGGTCTCATTACAAAGAGCAAGTGGTATGAGAGAAATTGCTGCAGCCATCTTTGAAAAAACACATTCTTCCACATCTTCCCTTATAAACTTTCCTTCATTTTATCCATGGAACACTGCTGTGATATCCTCATTAATATTCCCACCTCTAAACATCATTTTCAGGTCAGCATGCTATA